TTTAATATCAAATATCTTTAAAGTGCGCCAAGAGAATTTAATGAAATTTGAAATACACACATTTCATAATATGATCAATTATTGTAGCAAACAGCATTTTTGTAACTTTAATAGAAAAAAAGTTGTAAAAATTTCAACTTTCACATAAACTTTTGTTAAGAAAAATTTAACAGATTGGCTTCAAAAGCAAATAAAAATGATTTCTGATATCTTATGTTTACAAAAAGTAATCACAATTAGTCCTGAAATTGAATACAGTGTGCTAAAACTTTGATGGAAATGACCACCCCTAAAAAAAGGGTAAAATGTGCTGACACACTTTTCAGCCATTTTTTGGGAGAAAAAAAAATGGATCTAGGTCAGTTTATCGAAGTACCTAGTCACAGTGTGGTGATCTATTTTAATTTTCTATGACTGAAGTCTGACAGTGACACTCAAGTGAATCATAATTTAGTCTCTAGAGTCTAATTTAGATCTAGTGACTTAGTCTTGTCTTAGTGTGTGTTAGACTTAGTAATATTTCTAAGACAATTAGTAATACTATTGATTAGTATAAAGTAATATTTCTAAGTCTATTAGTATTGATTAGTATAAAATAAGTATGTATAGATCTAGAACAAGGGTGGGCAACCTTTTTGGATCGAGGGCCGCATTTCTTTAAATTTGGGAATGGCGGGCAGCATATGTATATACAACTTAGAAAGATACTCTTGCTAATTTTTAATTCATAGTTACACTGTATTATATTCATGTTTCTTTTTTTCCCACACTCCACGTTAAGGAATTACAAGAAAAGTTAGCAATTTTGTTAATCAATTAATAATTTCTTTTAATTGCTGTTGTCTTTTTATATTACAATAACCTTACTAATAGACAGTTGCACTTAATGTGCAGTATTTTACTTTTTACACTCGTGCATAATGTTACGGAACTGTGGAACTAGCTTACTAGTTATTATCCTTGTGACTGCTGTCAAATTACAGTCAGTCAAAATTGACCAGTAATTACTTGTTTAGTTTCCCCCACCCAAAATATAATGCTTGTTCACTGAATGAGACAATATATGTTCCGGAAATTAAATGTCGGGACGAGCGAAACTTGCCCTTTTAGAGCATCACCGGAATATGCTGGCCATGTCCTTCAATGGTGCATACTTAATCAGAGACCCGAATAGGACTCTGGCCCCAAAGCCCTCCTATAGAACCAAAACTATTTGGAGAACTGCCTGTATTTGGAAAACATTGCGCAGTTCATCTCAGAAATAGGATTACTGATCTGAACCCTCCAACATGTAAAATGAGAACAAAGAAGAAGAACAGATCTATGAGTACTCAAATAGTGTGAACAGCAGCACATTTTTTAAAGTGTTGACATACAGCTTCTGGCACCCATAAGACTCCTCTTGAAGTACTGACTGAAAATTCTCTTTGCTCTGAGTTATGTCCTCTGGAGCTAAATCAGCTTCTGCGCTAAATGGTGAGCTGATTGTATTGAAAACCGGTTCTTGACGTCTTAAAATTTGCTTATATAAATTGCAAAATTAAGGAATTAAATAAGTGTTATACTTTTAATCATTTCACTAGAAATAATTTCACCTTTCAGCAAAGAAAATGACAAAACCTGTTTTCTTTTGTATAAATGGGAAGGCCTTGTTTGAAAAGATTTAACATCCATTTACATTTCATATGCAAAAAACTCATTGCAATGGCAATAATGAAACCTGAAATCTGTCTTCCACTCTTCATTAGAAATATTGTTAACAAAGTCACAGTCAATGTCCTTCAAGTAACAGGACAATTTCTTCCTGGAGATTTTATAGTGTTCTCGTTTGCCTTGCCCATGTTAAGATAGATGAAATATTGGATTATTGTGTTCTTAATTAATATTATCTGTGAAATTTTATGAAGCTTTGTGCAAACTTTCCTGTTTAAAGTTTATGGTAGAGGTATTAAAAAAAACCACCATTTTACTCAGTCAAAGATCGAGCTCCACCAGTTGTTACCCTTGCCATCTTGTTCCAAGCATACCCAACCTTCAATATAGTTCTTCATAGCATTGAATAAATACTGATCAGAGATTGTGTCTTGAATTGAGTGTATTGATGTATAGCCAATAAGCATAGTCTTCGTTTGCTTGAAACTTTTTATAATGACAGTTTCAATAAATAATATTTATATTATTTTTAATATATTTGCATTTTTATAAATATATACTGTCGGCACACCTGACTTCTGTAGGTGTCGGCGGGCCGCATAAAACACTCCGGCAGGCCGTAATTTTCCCACCCCTGATCTAGAATAGTCTAGAATCTAGACAGTAGTACTAGTAGTAGGCTAGATTTGACTCTGTTTGGGCCTCCTCAACTCAAGAAAACATTAAGAAACTGGAACAGACACAAAATAGACTCTAGTAGAGTTCAGTGAGATTCATAACAAACAAATATTCACATTTGACTAAAGTAACACCGTTAGTAAAATCACTAAATTTAGAAAGCCTTCAGGTTAGAAGACTCAAAAGTAAAGTAGCAATTATACATAAAACACTGAACCATAAGCTTCAAATACAAAAACAATTAAGTAAAATACTCAGAAAGACACAAAGATAAAGGCACATTCCTCGTTCCATATGCTAGGACGAATTTGTACAAATGCTCCTTCTTCCTGCTATTAGAGCATGGAATGGGTTGGCTGAGCTAGCCAGGAAAACCAGTGACTTAGAAGAATTCGGGTCATTGTTTAATATACATAACTAAATGCATAACGCGTAGCCGCATCAGACTTCTTTTCGCAAAGATAGTTTTATGCTTTAACACATGAACATACTAAATATAGTCCATTCATTTCATATTTTAATCAAATTAACATTCAAATGTGTTTTTCTAAGGCATTTTTAATACATTCGTTCACTGTTCGCTAAAGCTGCATAGCTGTGTTGAGATAGGCCTATATTCATTCATGAAAAAAGGTCACGCATGCGCAGAGCAAAGCCTTTCACGCAGTACATTATGAACTCTTTAAAAGCCAATTTTTAACTCTAGATTAGTCTAGATCTAGATCTATGTCTACAATAAGATCTACTTTATACTTTAACACATAAACATACAAAATTAAGTCTATTCATTTCAAATTTTAATCAAATATATGTAGGCCTACAAGCAAATGTTTTAATTTGAAAAAAATGGATTTAAGCCGATTAACTATTTTGATTTGATAGCTTCATTCATACTATTTTTACATTTACACATTAGCTTTACTTATTACATTATTATTTCGTTTAAATATTTTAAAAGCACTCTCAGTGACTATATCGACAGTAATACGCAAATAAAGACCCTCAGGTCGCGGGTAAAATATGTCTAGTATAATATAAATATTACTTTGTACAGAAAGTATTTTTGTTTGTTTTTGTTTTGGTCACAATTTCACATCAGAGCTGATGTTTTTGTTTTTTTTGTTTTGAACATTGCAGTTAGCGGTGTTGGTATTGGCATTGTTGTCTCTGCATTTCTTTTCAAACGTAAGTATCTAAGTTTGAGTTGTCTCAAGATTTTAGTTTATCCCCAGAAAACAGCTTTAGCCTAGTCTTCCACTGCACAATATAAAAAAAATAAATGGTGGTACAGTCATACTAAAAGCCTGATCAAATAAATCATGCATTTCTATATTTTTTTACTGATGCAATAACATATCACCAACCTTCTTTTTTAATTGTAATTTAAAAAAACAACAACACATATTCTCTGAAACAATTAAAATATTTATTTTTAGAATGTCAACTACCTACTAAAAAATATTCTCAGAGATCCCCATCCTGCTTGGAGCCAGTCTCATCTCCTGTAGACAGCCTGTGGTGCACAACGAAAGATTTTGCATTTCTCTTATATAGGATTATTTATACCCTTCCTCCCCCGCCAAAAATAAAAAAGGAAGGCTATAAGTTTAAAAAATTGTTTTAGTTTACATTTTACATTCTGATTGAAAGCAGACTATCTTAGATCAATCTGTGTTTGTTTTGACATGTTTAAAAAAATAATATAGGTCCTCCTTGTTGGTTTAAGATGAACTGTGAACTCCAAGATGGCTATGAAGTCCAATTTTTGCTTTGAAAAGCTGATTGCACTCAAGGCATGGTTAGGTTGGGTCTGTTGCAATGTTTCCTTCTTTTGCTCTTAACTTTTTGACTTTTCTTGCTCTTGTAGCATAAAGAAACAAAGATTCACAGCTACATGTGGTAAGGAGCAATCAAGGGCTAGCATTTCCCTATTATGAGTGTCAAATTTTACATTCCTTGATGGAGCTCTTGAAAGTATTTTTTTTATCTATTGTGTTGACCCCCCCCCCTCCCCACTTTGAGAATGCTTTGCAATGCACAGCTCCCAGTTAAGAAGTTGCTTGGTGGGGTGATTGTTAAGCATCATAGATGGGACCTTTTTGTTGTGGTATGCATACTGTTCAGAAGCTATGTGGTTAAACCAATTCACCTGGTGATTTTTTTCTGAGCAAAGGTGGAAGGAGTTCAGCCTTTTGATTTGGGATGAGAAGGAACATTAGGTCCAGGACTCTTTTGCCGAATTATGTTAAAATGAGGGAAGGCATGCATCACTGTAGACATTCACTTTTGTAGATGTGCTTGTTCATAAAGTCTGACAAAAATGGCACTGGCTTGTGAAACAAATTAGTTGACTTTATCATCTATTTTAACAAAACTGTTGCATCCCCTATTTAATAGTCAAATTGCTTTATGAAAAAATTTCATTGCATGTTATTTTTTTAAATTAAAAATGTTACCACAGTGAGCATCATTTGTTCTCAACTAGTGTTGTTTATTTGTTAGCATTTAAAAAAATAGTTTTAGTTCTGGTATAAAAATAATATATTTTAAAATTAAGTAAATTTTTTTTAAAATTGCAGGCAAGCCTTGGCCAGTCATTCTTGGAGCTGGCTTAGGAACAGGAATGGGAATCTCTGACTGTAACCATGAGTTCAAAGGTCATGTCCCAGTGAAGCCAGTGCCAGTAGAAGTAATGTCTAAACAAATTTCTATTATTTTTTTTAAATGTATAAATGAAGCTTAAAAAAATATATAAAAATTATATATATAAGAATGCTATTCAAGGATGAAATGGTGGGGTTGTCTAAATTAGAAAAAAATCTTAGTAGAGTTAACTCAAACTACAGCCACCTGGCTGCCTGTGACCTTTGACACATTGCTATCAGGCCTCTCAAAACTTCAGCCCACTCATATTAAAATAGCAGAGAGGCTCATTTTGATTGGACTCGATTTATTGCATGGATGCAGTACACAGCCTGTGTGTCAGAAACTAAATAGTCCCCAGGCTGAAAAAAATTGGGCATAACTGATTTATAAGTTAAGGTGATTGGTAAATGTGCTAGCCACATAGTTTTCATTAGCGCAGTTAATTTAAACAATAATTAGGGTAAAATTCTTCTTAACAACTAAAGATTCTCCATTACCAGTAAAATCTTTGCTAATCTGACTAGCAGACAATGCTATAATTTTTAAGAAGAATTAGTCAAAATGTTAGTGCTGGTTCCACCATAATTGCCTGAAACCTTTCAATTTGTGTCAGAGCTTTATTGTTAAGACCATCTTTGAGATTTTATATTCTTAAAGACTACAAAGTTTAAGCAAACATTGAACTATTTTGACATATCCAAAGAAGAAAAGAAAAAGGAATGCAACTATGTATAACCTACGCTGTTTCACTAATTTAAATCTGCAGCTCTAATCAAAGGCTGTATATGTATGACATTTAACTGGATGTTCACATTTATGTAATAAGCCTTTGATTTTATAAAGATAGTAGGTTTTCTTTTATATAAATTTAAGCTCGACATTTATGTTTCGTTCTTGAATATTACTTTAGCCTAAAGTGATCTTCCATAAGAAAATACCTTTGGTGACTACCTTGGAAGACAAAGCTTCCCCAGTCAAAGAACTGCTAACCAAGAAGCCCAAATTTATTCACCGACCCAAAACTGATGTTGAGAAACATAGTGGGAAAAAATTTATGTACAGGGAAATAGATGATGATGATGATGATGAGGAGGAGGATGATGATTGAACTGCTATTGTGCATGACAATTAGGTTTTAAAAGTCAACCTTTTGTTACACTTTCTGAAGTGTTGAATTTTTTCTTCTTTTTTCTAATTTCAATTTTTGTCCGAAGGTTACATTTTTCATTAAATGAATTGTATTCGTTATTAACATTGATTAGTTAGTCAATTTATTTTGCCAATTACCATAACTTAAAGATGACTTTGTTTACTTTGCATGGCATCAGTTTGAAAAAAATTTTAGTACAAAAAGACATGTTTTATTGTTACTTGTTTATTAGCTGTTATTGATAGTATATTAAACCATTTAGAATTTCTCCTACTTAAGTATATATAAATAATTATAGTTATTTTTCTACCATTAAAGCTTTTAAAATGACTGTGCCATTTCAAACTGCTTATCACTAGCAAATTAATATTACAAGATCATTTTTTTTTTACTTCACAGGTAACATCTGAGACATCGTGATGGACAACTGAGTGAATTTATTAACATTGATTGTGTCATGCCGTACTCTTTTGAACTGTCTTCAATGTGTATTGATTGAGAACATTGCAAGATGTAATGTCTGTCTGTTGTCTTGGAATAAGACAAAAGTTTAGTAGAATTTCTTTTATTGCTTTGATAGAATGAGTTGTGTACGGTATTTGGCATTGTGCTTATTTTTTTTCTCGTATTTTTCAATGCAATATGTTGACTCAAGAAAACTATAAAAAAAAAAAAAAAATTAAAAGTACACAAAATGTACTTTGTTATTTATTAATTTTGTTGTTACTTTCACAATATTCTTCACAAAAAAACAACAAGAAGTAAAACATAAAATAACATCTTTACTTTATAACAGGAAACATATTCATTGAGATGATTAATTTTTATAGGCCAGGTAATTCAATCAGGATTTATTCAAAATCACACCATACTGTATAAAACACATGTTAAAAAACAACAACAAAGAACGAGAACTTTGTAGATAATTAACCCCAGATAAAAAATTATAAAAAGGCTTAATTTTAGTTTTCATTAATCAGTAACTAAATACATTTTAGAACCAAAACTTCCTTGTCACTCTCATGCTAACAGAGTAGGATGATTGCTGCAAAGCAGTTCCTTGACAAGAGTACACATTCATACAAGTTCTATTGTTAATATAGTTCATTACACTGTAAACATTTTTAAATAAAACAATAATGACAAACTGATTATAAATAAATCTACTTTTCACAATCCCCCACCTTTCAAAAATACCTTGATATGGTTTAAGGCTTAATAATTACTTAACCAAAAAATGAATAAATAAAAGTAAATCAATAAATAAAATCATTTGGGTAATTAAATGAAATAAATAAAGATACACTAAATAACATTCACACACTACTTACAAATGCATTGGCTAGTAAATATTGCAAACAAAGCAAACAGTTGAAAAGAAATTTAGACCTAAATTATAACTACAGAAAAGGAAAGGGACATAACTATTCTGACACTATTGAAAGAGCAATGCTGTTTTTTTTACATTATAAATTGACAGTAGTTCTCATCAATGTTTAAGACTTCAGAACATATTCCAAAAAAATGCACATGCAAAAACATAATGGACAATGAGGACATTTGACAGTTTACACACTCAACCCTGCCTCCCAGTATGTACACAGACTTGAACACTTCAATACTGAAAACTTCTTTTTGTTTTGATGTCATCTAAGATCTGTTGCAGTTCCTCGTCTTCAAATCTACCTTCCAAGCTTTAAAAAAAAAAGACATTGATTAAACTGTTGATATTCTTTGTAAAAAAATGTACATACTGGTATAAACCAAAAAGCCAAATCATGATAAAAAATAAATTTCAAAGGTGGCTGGTGTGTACATCGTCTCAGTTTTTGCATCACAAGATAATTATTCCAGCACTCAACAAGTGATTTACCATCTTGCTAAACCAAAGTTGGAGGCACGGTGGCTGAGCGGTAAAGCGCTTGGCTTCCGAACCGGGGTTTGAATCCTGGTGAAGACCAGGATTTTTAATTTCGGGATCTTGGGCACCTCTGAGTCCACCCAGCTCTAATGGGTACCTGACATTAGTTTGGGGGAAAGTAAAGGCGGTTGGTCGTTGCGCTGGCCACATGACATCTGTGTTAACCGTAGACCACAGAAACAGATGACCTTGACATCATCTGCCCTATAGACCACAAGGTCTGAAAGGGGGACTTTTTTTTTTACCTTCAACGTAGACCATTACCCGAAAAGGTACACTACTAATGGCAAACCATCATATTTCATCACAATGCCAGCAATACCCATATTGCAGACTGCATAAGTTTTTAAAATTACATTTCAACAAAATAAAATAAACAGAAATTAGCAGAAGAAAAATCATCAGCAACACATTGTTCTTACCTTGGTATTAAGCACTTGGCCTCCTCTGCTGTTTCTGGACAAAGATTGGCCAAGGCAGCCAATTCATACTTATGCAACTTCTTTTGCATTAAAGAACTGATAAACAAAAATTGCACTGAATAAGATATGGAACAAAAAAAACAACAACAACAAACAGGCAGCCTGGAAATAATAATAAATAATAATCTTTATTGTCTGTAAGGAAATTTGCCTTACAATTTGTGCATTACACCAAATGTCAGTAGTAAACAATTCTGATGCAGTACCAATATCAGACCTGAACTCTATAGTATATGAACAAAAACTCTTTACAGGTAGGTTGAGACTTGTTATAAAACAACCAGTAAAACTTGATGTCTTACTAGTTAATTGTTGTAGGCTTCATTGTATGTTTTGTTTCATTTAAATCATTTGCGATTTTAATTTTTCTTCTTTGATATTAATACTGATTTAATTTTTTAGTGTTTTTTTTTTTCTTGCACACTGTTCTGTGCAAGGAGCTTAAAGAAAGGGAAATTGCAATTGCAATTGATATACTGAGCTAATTAAAAAAATAGCAGAGGAGAAAACACCCAACTTGTTATGTGGGTATTGGAATAAAAATAGCCTCAAAATAGAGATGAAAAGAATACCCCTTTTGCAAAGTACCAAATGCTGGCTTTAGGAACGGTATATTGTCCTAGGCATAAATAACTGTAACATCAAACAGCATTATTAAACTCTTAACGGGTGAAAGCTGCATTGAATCTGGAACATGTTTTGAAAACAGCCCCTAATGATTTTACAAGTAATGTAACAGTTTATGTTATCTTGGGTGAAACATTACTAGCACTATTAAAAATATGGTTTTAATTTTTTTTTATCCAAATTATAATAATCTTAAAATTAAATTTTGCCTTTTGGAAGACTTTCAGTAGGTATTACATTGGTATGAACATTTAATGTAGCGATGAGCTGGACTGTATAGAACAAATTGATTGTGCAAGCTCAATGGAAAGACCACTTGCCATATTGAAGCATTACAAGAAATCAGAAATTATAGTAGACCACCATCAGTTTCACAAAGAAAGAATTTGGTGTAAGCTTTTATTTCAGTTTGTAAGCTAAAGACTAATGGGTAAAGTGAAAATCAATGAACACCCAAGCCAATGCTTAAAATGTAGTAATAATTTCATATATTATACAGATGATCATCGTGTTTAATCATTATGAAGTCTGTAGACACAACAAAATATGTTAAAGGTCTTTTATAGAATTAAAACCTACTATCAAGAAATCCATCCAGTGCTTTCAAAATTGTGAATGGCAATGTCTTTGATTCCAAGGATTAAGGATTAGTGCAGGACTAAACATAACCTTACAAACCCAGTTGTGACCTGCATATTTTATCCCATCTATTGCAGAAAAAGCTGCTGTCCACCAGGGGTCTATTTAAGATTTCTTTTTGTCTTTTGCACCTGACTTCTTTGGGCCTCAAATGTGTCCTGCCACCTTCATAAGAGCTATCCAGCTGAGTCATAAGAGCTATCCAGCTGACTCTAAGAGGCAATATGCTGCTATCTACTTTCCTCTATGTCAGTGAGGGAAAAATGGCACCCAAATTGATCTTTATAACGCTTCCAGGGGCACATTCACTACGCCAACCCCTTTTAAGCTTTCCTAAAAAGATTGCCATTGTCATGCGGGATAAGTGTCATATCCAGCACAGCTGTCAAATAGTAGTGTTTTTATACTGTCCACACCAGCCTCTAGCAGAACAAGGTTATATGTCAGGTATTCTTGCCAGCATATGCCCATAAAAGAGCATGTGCATCTTTGATTGAAGCAATATAATAAATACTTGCATTGTCAGTAGGTAATTTAAAAGTATGAGAGAAATTTCTTTAACAATGGCAATTTCTAGATAAAAAAAACAACAACAACACAAGTTCACCCTCTTTGACAAATACTTTGTAGAACTAGTTGTTATCAATACATTTAAACCTAAATCCCCAACATGTATGAACAACTCAGAATTGGTATGTCACATTTTTAAAGGCATTGAGATATCAACTGTGTACTATATCAGGTCAAATGTATAATGATTGTGATTTGAGAAATTCTTGAAAAGCAGTTTTTATTTCCTATACATTTTTAAATGTATTTTTAAGCAAATTTTAAAAATATTTTCTT